AGAGATTTTGTTATCTAGCAAAGAGCATTCAGTAGCTTGTTTTTTAGTGTGCCTCCTCCTCTCCAGGGCTAGCCCTTGTCCTTGCGTCTTGGGTCCCTGCAGTTAAGATCCTCACTGGGGTCCCTGATTCTACCATCTCCCAATCTCTTCCATCTTTCATTTCTCACCTGAATAATCTTTCTGAAGTATAACCCTAATCCTCCTGCAGCAGTGTTATTAGTTTTGCTTTGCCTTTTTTGCCCCTAGACACTGAAAATCATGTGCTGTTACCACAGAGAAATGTACGCAGGCAGCTAAATCATCTCTGCATACAAGGGGCTCTGCTCTGTTCCCTCTAAAAACCACCTCATGCAGGCCTTGGGATCCTTGGTCCTTCATTCAAGGCCTTCACCTCCCATCCTGCATCACCTATCACATAGACTGGAGCAGCTCTCTCCACTGCAGGAACAAGCACAGCCTCCTAAACCATTGTAAGGACCTGACTACTATGTCAATCTCTCTCCTGTCTTCCCCTTCCTTTATACACTGCCTTTCTTTTCTTCAGGGTTGGGAGGTGGGAACTGAACTCAGGACCTTGCACTTGCCAGACAGGTGCTTGGACCACTGAGCTATATTTGCAACATTCATTACCCTTCACAGCAGCCAGATGCCTTCCTCTGGGTGTTACCTGCTCTCTAGGATCCCACTTAGCTTGATTCTTCTCTGCCTGCTCCTCTGAGCACCCAGTCCTGATGGAAGGCTGCTGTTCAACAGTCACTTCTGTATTATGAAACAGCTCCCATCTCTTCTTTTAGTTTTTTTTTTTCTTTGCAGAACCGGGGATTGAACTCAGGCCCTTGTGCTTGCCAAGGAAGCACTTATTCCACTAAGCCATCTCCCCGGGCCCTCCCATCTCTTCTTTCATAGCAAACGTCTGCATGCTGGTTTGGTAGATTAGGCATTATTTGAGTTTTTCTTGAGTTTATTTGCTTATCTTTTCCCTCTCTGATGATAAGTATCTGACTTAACACCCAAGGGGAAAAGCCCTTATAGCGTTTATTACATTCATAAAGTTAGCAACTACAGAAATTACCAGGGTTAAACCACAAACGGTTATTCCACCAGCAGTAAGGAGAGGATATCTAAAAGTCACAGCAAATGCACTCTATTTGAATAACACTTAAAGGATAAGAAAACTGAACTAAATCTATTTTAATGCAAAGTACACAACTGACATTTTCCATTCCTATTTCACACAGAAAAATCACAATCACAACATCCATACTAGGCACTTTTTTGTTCACTAGATAAAGTAAAACTCCTATCTTATTTGGTTAGCATGGAGTCTTACATAAATTCAATAAAGGTGAAAGTGAATTTTTTCCCTTTGGAGAATCGATGAATACTAACACAAATGAAGTACTCTTTCACACTTATCAATAATACACATTAAAATAAGACTTCATAGTGTGACTACTAAACATTGCTGAAATTCATAAAATGCATTTTATTTGAATTCCAATTTGAAAAACTCAAACTTTAGGGAAATCTAATGCTGGTAGTTCTATCACTATGCTATATAAACATAAAAAGGACTTATAGGGAGATAAACACACCAACTTTACATTAACTTTACCTTTAATTATTTATTCATTCAGTACAGGATCTCACTACGCAGCTCAGACTCGCAGTGATCCTCCTATTTCAGCTTCTCTATGACTGGGATTACAAGCATGCACCACCTTGCCTGGTTTTGGTGGGATGGCATGCAGTAACAGGGATCAAACTCAGGTCCTTGAGCTTGCCAGGCAGGCACTTAGACAGCCAAGCCATCTCCCCTAACTTCACTTTTAGTAAGTACACATATATAAACATCACTCAGCTTGAATGGTTTTGCTCTAACTCAGCCTTATTCTTACAGAGATCACTCCCACTATTTGAGGCTCTACTTTACAAAGGTTGTAAGACAGTGAAGGGGCTTCTTATGCATGCCTCATTCAAGTTCCCACTATGCTGCTTGTACCCAAGCTGGTGTCTCCAGTCTTATCCTGCACATGGACATATTCTATAACCCAGTTTTAGAGTATAGTCAAATAACCAGCTACCAAGCCACCACTAACTTGACCTTCATGCTGGACCTGAAGCTGACAACCAGAGAAAGTTTGCTGTGAAAAGGTAGCTACCAAACTAGTGCGCTCTCCCTTCCCTGTCCAAGAATGCAAGGCACTAAAGGAGGCAGAAGAAAACAGCAGCAGTCCCAGGATCCTACACAAAGACAGGCACCACAGCCACAGCAGCCACGGCACCCCCAGCCCATCCCCAGGAGCGCCCAGCCAAAGAACTACAACCCACTGTGGATGGGAGGAGAGGTATGTCCACAGGAGGGCCTGACAGGCAAATACTTCTGAACAGTTTAATTAATACTCATAACATGCTAATTAAGAAAATAGTTAACTAAACCAAGGATAGATTTCCTAAAACTATAAATTTCTGGCTATGCAAATTATGAAAATGAAATTACTATCATCAATATTGCAGCAGAACATTACCCACTGGTTTCAGGATGGCACAGGCAAAAACATTCATTTTTAGGAAAACAAGGCTACAAAGACAAAGTTATGGGGCCAGGGAGATGGCTTAGTAGAATAAGTGCTTCCCTGGCAAGCACAAGGGTATGAGTTCAATTCCTGGTCCCGCCAAAAAATTTTTCAAAAAAATTTTAAAAAATTAAAAATAACAAAGTTATATAAAACATATGGCCACAAAAACTTGCAAATAGGTTCGTTTGTTTTAGGTCCCAGGTTAGATTAAAAACAAAACAAAACAAACCCAGAAAGTTAGGCATTGGGCCCAAGGATGACAAAAGCTCTGCCAGCAATTCTATGCAGCCGAGGACGAGACCCACTACTCTCTGATCTCCAAGTGCAACCCAAGGACCATCAACATCAGCATCTCTTAGAAGCAATGGACAAAAATCTTCAGGGCCACTGAAACCAGAACCCAGTCCAGGGTGGCTCTGCACTCTCCAGGCCAGCCATGGGATGATGCTGCACCCTCCAGTGTTAAAACCATGCCCTTGGGTGGTAATGAAAAGTTTATCTTTCTTTTATTATATAGACATATCTAGCAACAATAAACTGAAAAAAATTCAACAAATATGACAGAAGACTAATTTCCTCATAAACAAAAAAGATGTTCAAGCCCTTATTCACATAAAAATCAACGCGAAACCCAAAACAATATGTAGGGTGACTTTCAGGTGTTGGGAGTATAGTGGTGGTGTTGCAAAAATAATGTTTATGATTTTGAAAAAACATAGTATCTGGGTCATTATCACATTTCATATGCAAAAGCTAAGAACAAAATAGGAAATAAAAGTGTTTGTATAGCCTAAGAGTAAGAAAAGCTTTAAAGCAAATTTAAAAAAAAGGGAAAAACTTAAATATAAGTCACTGATACAACTGAAAAAGTATAGGGCTGGGGATTTGGCTCAGCAGTAGAATGCTTGCCTAGCAAGCTGGAAGCCCTGGGTTCAGTCCTCGGCACCAAAAACAAAAAATAAAAAAAAGTATAATTTTACAATTTAAAAATAAAAGACTTCGTAAACAAAAGGACAATCCAAGGCTGGGAATGTAGAAAGACACTTGAAACAAACATGAGCAAATAACTAATCACTGCAGGAAGAGAAAAAATTTGTGCAGATTAATACAAGTAATAATAATAACACCTAATAACCAATAAGGAACTGATAAATTCCATGACTCAGCAAGAGGCAGGAGCGAAAATTTTAAAATACAAACAAGAAAAGTTACTCAAACTCTTTAGCAATGAGGAAAATGAAAACTAAACAATGAGATACCAACTGTTATCTTACTAGATTAACACAAATCAAAAAGCCCATCAATATCAAAGTGGCACACTGGGAGGATATAAACTATCCTAGTTGATTGGGAAAACAATTTGAAAAAAATCAAGAGAAACAATTAAGAAATTCCAAACTCAAGATACAAACCCTCACATATGCACAGGAAAAATCTGTGTGAACTGTTCATAGTAGAAAAGAAGAAAAGGAGCAAGTGACTGCGAAAAAAAATAGAAACAATCTGAACATCCATCATGAGTGGTACAATTATACAACGATATGAAATGTACATTTACACAAAGATGTATTCTACAACACTTATGAGAAATAAATTATATGTTACAACACAGGTAATTCTCCAAAAAGTAGTATCAGGATGTGAGGGCGATCTGGCTGTGCCATCTGTCACCCCGCTGATCACCAGGGTTGATTTGGCTAATTGGGGTGGCTAGGTGGGTGTCCCCATCCTCCCTCAATGATCCCCGTGTGTCCCTCCCAAAGCTGTGTGCTCGGTCAAAGAGGATGACCACCCTCAACGGAGGAGGACCGTTCCGTGGTCAGGGGTGCACAAGTAGCTGTGTTCCCTGCTAGAACCTCCAAACGAACTCTCAAAAAGCAGTATCAACTCACAATGAAATGTAATTTATAAAACTACATAAATTCTTAAGCCTCTAAATATACATTTTCCATATATCCAGGCCATCTATCTATGTAAAAATAATTTTAAAATAACCTATTTCAATGCACTGGCACTAGATGTCAGATTACTTCTGGAAAAAAGGATGGGAAATTACATACACTGCGGGCAGTGGTCAAAAAAGACGCAATTCTAACTGTGACATTCTAATATATCCAAAAGGAGATAAAACATCAATTACTCTTAAAAGTAGTTTTAAAAGAATTTGCATGTTCACTAAAGTATTAGTTTTTTAATCTAGATGGGAAATATATGCATATTTATCCTTTTTTTCTTCTGTATTTCCTATTTTTCCTTATCCTCTTCCAAAAAAACTCTTTATATATTAAAAAAAAATCAAATAATATGAACATTAGCAGCTGTAGTAAATAAAATCTAACCCCACTGGGCTCAAACCACATAATTTTTACTCTTTCATAACAATGCAAGTAAATAGTTAAGTCAAAGTTAGTTTCCACTTACGCATATAAGGCAGTTTTTCTGGGCAGGGGAGGTACGGTGAATATGTGAAGTTTTCTGGAAGGTAAGTTGTTGTTTGGACAGGATAATCACTCGAATTATTGCCTTCAGGATAATCTTGGAGAAAGAGAAGAACATTACAACCATAATACTGCCTTTTGCTTTACCTCTAGTACAAAATACATCACAGTCATCGTCACTGTGAGAAGACTGTAAGCTACAATTTCCAGAAGTACTTAAAAGCAGTTTCTAGAAAGGACTAGAGAAAAGCAAACCTGCTTTTCCTGGTAAGGCCTAGAGAGCACCGCAACCTATCACTGCACACAAACGCAGCAGCAGCATCTACAGCCACACAAGGACACCTTCTCCCACCTTTCCCTGACTAGACCAGATCAAAAGGAAATTTATTCCAGTTGTAATACTGGGAGTAAAGTTTTCTCATTACTTCACATATAACAAACTGAAATTTACTCACTCCACTTACTTCTAAAACACAGCCTATTCTAAACCTTCAAATCAGTTATTTTCAACCTGGGAGCTACACCCTCTTGGAGTCCTAAGTTACCATTACAGTAGGCCCATTCTCGTTAGTCACTGAGTTCTATACCATGGACAGCAATAGTTTAAGGAACCAAAGTCAAATGTCTGCCTTTAAATCCTTCTTCCAGTAAGGTCTGGTGTGTACTAGTTTTCAGGAAGAGCAGTACGTAGCTTTTCATCTACGCCTACCTGCTATTGACAAGCTCAGTTTTCAGTAAAATAAAATAGTTTTTAAAAATTAGTGATCCCTGGCCCATAAAAACACTCAAGAGTTGGTGGCAATGAACGACTGATTTAGACATGAGCCTTCAGGTTTCTGAATGTGGAACCAAAGAGAGCATATTTCAGTCTCGTTATGTGGAAAGGTTCCGAAACATATCTGAGCAACACACATGTCATTTCCTTCTCTTCAGAAGAAGCTGGCCTAAGAAAATGCAGTAAGAGAAAGTGACAAAAACAGCTGATTAAACTACAATCTCGGGCCAGGAAGATAGCTCGGTCGAATAAGTGTTTGTCTGACAAGCACAAGGTCCTGAGTTCCATCCCTGGTACCGCAAAAAAAAAAAAAAAAACAAACTACAATCTGACTTCCTTAATCTGACCACAAACCATAGAAAATGAAACTCTAGCAGACACTAGAAAAAAATGTGGAGCTATTATTTCAGTCTTCAGTAATCTTCTCCAATGAGAGACACTGTAAAAGTTAAACCCTCTGATTCATGGGTAAGTGGTAGGTGTGTGAGAAAAGCCAAAGCAAAGTAAGCACCTGCCCTGCACACCTCTGTATAAGTGTAAGTATCTGTTCAGGGCTGAAGACTCAGCACTTGAGAGCAAGGCCAGTCCTAACGCCAGCCCAATCTATGAACAAGGGGCTCTGTCACGGCTGCTAAGCAAAGGCTGATGAGACGGAGGGACAAAGGCTCCAGGCCTGGCACCAGAAAAAGGAACAGAAGCCAAGGAGAAGGTCCAATTCCAAAGGACAGCATGGACATTCCAGCTGTAACTCACAGCACTGATGTGAGAGGTTAACTGTAGCACCAGAAATCTCCAACTGGATAAATGGAGGCCAAGGATGGCACAACTGCCTGCTCCACCAGAAAGCAGGTGGCACCCCTGGAGCCACTGCCCTGAAGTCTCCCCCCAAGGAGACTGGAAATCCTCTGACAGGGAAACCCTCCATGGGGAGAAAGATTCACTGGGCACTGTTTTGCATGCCCAATAGAGCCTGTGGCCTCACAACCGACTCCAGGCCCACATTCCACACACCTCTTGTGTATGTATCCATCAGACTTAAAGATACTGCACTAAACATAAAATACCTGTAAGAAAGTCTGATGAGTCTCTGATTCTTAAGACGCTCTAAAAAACTGGGCATATATCAAACTGCAGGTCATATTTTAGAAATGTTTTCCCTTTTATGGAACTTCTAACGTGCTAGTGGTAGGAACCAGAGGTCTGAGCATGAACCAGGTTTCTGGGATTTCCACCAAAAATAGCTCAGATTATTATCATGAGCTTTGTGACAGTGTTTGCTCACACTCCTTAATGTTCACCTTAAGAGTTTTTTTATTCATCTTCAAACAAGTTGATTTTGCTACTTATTGGCAGCATTTTTTTTTCATTTGAAAAAAAGACAAGTTTTTTTTTGTTGTTGTTGTTTTTTAGGTACACAGTTAAGAAAAGAAAAAAACACACACAAAAAGTTACTTAAAAATAACAATAATTTGTCAAAATTTGGAAAATCAAATCACAGGATTACTATAAATAAAACCAGTTGCCCAAAAAGTAGAAAGAAAGAAAAAGAAATAGGAGAAAACACATGATAAAGTTAAGATTCTTGGGGGCCGGGGAGATGGCTCAATGGAATAAGCGCTTCCCTGGCAAGTGTAAGGGCCTGAGTTCAATCCTCGGTTCTGCAAAAAAAAAAAAAAAAAAAGTTAGGATTCTTTCAAAACCCACAAATCCAAACAATAAAAGTTCTGAAATGAAGGGGAGGTAGCCAGAAAAGAGAATAAAAAGTTCCAAACAGTCTCTGTGAAATTTCATAACCCTGAAACACAAAACAAAACCAAAACACTTGGGAGTCTCAAGAAAAAAAACCTAGGGCTGGGGCTACCACACCCCAGCAGAGCACCTACAGAGCATGCGGGAGGCCCTGGCTTAGAAGAGCCGGGTCCACGTGTAGGGACTCTGTCCAGAATGGCCACAGCTCTCAAAAGCAACACTGGAAGAGAGAAAATGATGACGTGGGAATTTCGAGAACCTTCTTAAGTATAGTCAATTCATGTGCTTAAAAACCTAGTTAAAACCTGTGACAGATGCATAAAAAGCTCAGCAAATGGGAGGACAGGGAGAATTAATGTCAGTAAAATAAGTTCTGCAAAACATCTCCCTGGTGATTTGAGTTTAACTTATGATGTGATGGTATCAGGGGAAAAGGGGAAATGAGAGCTGAGCACTCTGTGATGCCTCAATGTCTTTCTTCCACAACTGGAACAGTTACGATGGATAAACCAAGGAACAGAAGAACAGGGCCAGGGTGTGGCTCGGTGGCAGACAGCATGCTCAGCATACTGGAGAGAAGGGGAAAAAGAGGGAAGAAGGGAGAAACAGCAGAGTAGAAACACAGATAAACAGAGAGTAAGCTGTGAAAAAATTAAAAGTAGTGCATTTCAACATAGCTAAATAGAGAAGCCTCTGGAGTCACTCAGAAAATCATTTAAAGACAGGTAGCTGGAAGAAAACAAGGGCCATATATCTTCATGCCAAAGTCAATTTGAAATAAGAGACTTGGAGATCAAACAAAACATAAGCATAAGACTTCATAAAACAGCTAAGCAGCCCACAGTACTGCCAGCACATGGAACAGGAACCACCAGTCTGGGAAGGTCCCAAAAAACTGATGAACTGTAACAGCAAGGCAGACTCCATTCATACAGGGGAGATTTGGACTCCTTTGCCTTTCTCTGAACAGAGAATGCTGTATCCTTGAAGCAAATTTTACCAGCACACACAAGGTGAGTGACCAAGAAGCTGCTAGATTCCCTGATGGGCCTGGGCCGCAAGATTTTTGTTTTATTTTGGTCATGTGCCATAGTGGTTAATCTCCCACAACAGCAAGGTTAGGGTCCTCGACAGCAGTGGAGAAAGTAGCAAACAGCTCTACCCTTTCTGCACTGCTCCCAACTACATGCGACAGAGAGGAACACAGGCCCTAAGCAACCGTAAGCCTCTGTGGGACAGTGAGTGGGAAGTCAGCACTGCCCACCCCACTCCAAGCAGCTAAAGAGAGCAGATGGGCCAGCAGAGTGTCTGTGGCCAAGAGGGGTCGACTGCACACAGCACAGGGAGCTCCTTGGGCTGTGTCTGCTTGAGAGCCCCACAGCAACTGGGGAAGCAGCACAGAGGCAAAGAAGGTAAGGTGATGTGGTTGGCTGCCAACAGACATGCCGAAAGTCCCTGGCTGGCTGAAGACTCCGGCCTTAGCCCTATTTCCTGAGGCCAAAATCAGCCCCTCACCCAACACTAATCCTACTGCAGACTGCAGGGTTACGCAGGACAGAGGTGGGCTCCAACTTAGGCACCAGAACTGTGATTAGAACTGTGGGCACCAGGAGAATTTTATTTTTGTTGCCATTTATTTTGTTTTCCTTTTTCTTTTGTTTTTGTGCTGATTTAGATATTTATTTTTATTGTTTCTTTCACTTCAATCCTCAAGTGTCTTTCAAAAAAATTTTTTTGGACATTTTCAAACCAATGAGTGAATACAGTTTCTAGTCTTTCTGATGTCTTTTTTTTTTTTTTTTTTCTTTTTCCCCAGCTTTATCAATTCTTTCTCTACTGTCCCCTTCACTTTCTCTAAGCTTGGATGATCACCATTTGTGCCTCAGCCTTGGTTCTAACATATTCCTCTGTATCTCTACTTTTCCCTCTACCTCTCTTAAATTTCTCCACAACAGGGTAAAATCACTAAGTGGAAACTCATTGTATACATGCTCTTACTTTATGTTGCATTTTCTTATATAACAGTAGATCTTGCTCGGATGGTTAAAGGTAATAAATTATTAGCTGCCACAGTTTGTCAGCTTTTAGCCTGTGCTTGTTGCTATGGTTACTGTTCACTGAACTTTAACAATTTGTACAACTATTAACTGTTCATTTTGCCAGGGTGCACACCACTGTAATCAGTTGTTTGTTCTTGTATGACAACACTGTGATGGTCTGGAGTCATAACTCATCACCATAGTCCAGTATCAAAGGACTAGGTGCTCAGACAGATAAGAGAGCAACTTCTCATCCCTAATAAATTGGGAAGACAGGATCTGGGGACAGACACAACAGCCAGGAGCCACCTACAACCAGGAGACATTGCTAAAGAACAGGCATTTCCTGCTGCACCAACACTAGTGATAAAGCTATCCGTCATACACAAATTAAAGCAATAACAAAGAAGCAAAATGCAACTCCAGATCTCCAGGCCACCAAGGACAATTCTAGGGGACGATGAGATAGAGGAAATCAGAAGCAACTGACCTAGATGTTTGGAAATGGTCGCAGAAGTATAAAAACAAAAACAA